TAGACCAGGCTGGCCTCGAACTCACAAAGATCCACCTGCCTCTGCCTCTGCTGGGATTAAAGGCGTGTGCCACCACACCCAGCTAGAGCATCATTTTTTATTTATTATTTTTATTTTATGTGTATGCGTGTATTGCCTGCATGTAGGTAAGTGCACCCGTGTCATGGCAAAGCTGGCCTTAAACTCTTGGCAATCCTCCTGCCTCACCTTCTAAATGATGGGATTACAGGCATGCACTACTGTGTCTGGCTTTCATTCATTCATTCATTCATTCATTCATTCATTCATTTTTGTGGTGTTAGGGCTGGAATACAGTTATGTGTATGCGTGTATTGCCTGCATGTAGGTAAGTGCACCCGTGTCATGGCAAAGCTGGCCTTAAACTCTTGGCAATCCTCCTGCCTCACCTTCTAAATGATGGGATTACAGGCATGCACTACTGTGTCTGGCTTTCATTCATTCATTCATTCATTCATTCATTCATTCATTTTTGTGGTGTTAGGGCTGGAATACAGGGCCTGGTACAAGTTAGGTAAGGACCGTGCCACTGAGCTCTATCTGGGGAGAGCCACAGAGCAGCCATGTATATTTCATGGACACAATATTCCACAGAACTCTATATAAAGCAAGGGACTCTTTGCTTAGCATCCATGGATGACCCCTGAAAAAGTCTGTGATGCCAGGCATGGTATGCATAGGCTGTAATCCTAATACTTGGGAGGCGGAGGCAGGAGGATCATGAATTTAAGCTAGCCTCAGCTACATAGTAAATTCAGAGAGAGAGAGAGAGAGAGAGAGAGAGAGAGAGTTGATTTAGCATTTTCTTCCAGCTATGAATACAGTCAGTGGATCACATTAGTATTAGCAAAACCTGTGACTTTGAACTAAATGCAGTGGACGGATCTGCAGGCCCAGCCACTGGGAATCAGACATAGGAGGATCACTTGAGGCCAACAGTTCAAAGCTAGGATAGGCAACAGAAAAATCTCAACAAAAGAAAGAAACAAAATCTGTGGCTTTGTAATCAGTAGGATCACAGATATTTTTCTGTCACATCGCCCTTGTTGAAGGCATCTCAAGAGAGCATCCTTTACATCATCACTGCTCTGACATTTGCATAGCTCTTAGGCCCACAGTTGGAATTTCCTATTTAATCAAGAAGCATGTGTTGTCAAATTTGCTTTTAAATTTTTTTTAGCCAGGTTATGGTGGTGTATACCTTTAATCCCAGCATTCGAGAGGCAGAAGCAGGTGGTTATGTGAGATCCAGGACAGCTTGGTCTACATAGCGAGCTCTAGGCTGGCTGGGGCTACAGGGAGACCCTATCTCAAAAAAACAAAACAAAACAAAAAAGAACAATAAAATATTTTTTAAAAGTTTATTTATTTATATATATTTTGATAATGATATTTCAATTAATTTGTTTCTTTTGTAATCTTATGCTTTTTTTCTTGGTGTTTAGGGGGACGGGGTTAGAGTTTTTTATTCATTTGTTTTTGTTTTGTTTTGTTTTGAGATAGGGTCTCCCTGTAGCCCCAGTAGGGGTGGAATTAACTATGTAGACCATGCTGGCTTTGATCTTACAGAGATCTGCCTGTATCTGCCTCCCAAATGCTGGGATTAAAGGCATGGACCACCAGTGGTATTTCTTCTGTTTTTAAAACAGAATACTGCTGGGATTGGTGGTGGATGCCTTTAATCCCAGCACTCGGGAGGCAGAGGCAGGCAGATCTCTGTGAATTCAAAGCCAGCCTAATCTACATAGTGAGTTCCAGAACAGCTGGGACTATAGGGAGACCCTGTCTCAAAAAGACCAAAAAAAAAAGACAGAATACTACATATTTTAAAATATTACACTGGGGGGCTGAAGATACAGCCCAGTAGTAGAGTGTTTTCCTAGTATGATGAGGGTCTATGTACCATCGCCAGTACATTAAAAAAAAAAAAAAACAGACATAAATGCTATATTGATCTATTACTGAGAAGCCTTTCAAATGCCAACGACCTGAGGCATAGAAATTATTAAGAACACAGTTTAAAGCCTGATGTGGTGGCATATGCTTGTAGTCTCAGCACTTGGGAGGCAGGGGAATTCCAGGCCAACCAGTGCCACAAAGTGAAACCCTGTCTCAAAAAAACAATCCGAAACAAAACAAAACATAGGGCTAGAGAGATGATTCAGAAGTTAAGAGCACTGGCTGCTCTTGCAGAGAACTCAGGTTTGAGTCCCAGCACCCACATGCTGGCTAACAACTGTCCATAACTCCAATTCCAGGTCAATCCAATGCCCTCATCTAACCTCTGAGGGCATTATAAGACATGGTTACACTTACATACATGCAGGTAATACACTCATACACATAAAATAAAAATAATAATAAATTAAAAAACAAAGCAAAAAGAGTATGGTTTAAGAAATCCTGTTTAGTGGGGCTGGAGAGATGGCTCAGAGGTCCTCTTGCAGGGGACCTGGGTTTGGTTCCCAGCACCCACATGGCAACTAACAACCATCCATGGGATCCAATGTCCTCTTCAGGTTGTTGAGGTCATTGCACGCATGGGCGCACTTGGACACACACAGGCAAAACACTCATACACATAAAATAGAAATAAATGCACAAATAATTTTCTTTTGGGGGGGTGGGGCTCTGAGACAGGGTCTCCCTGTAGTCCCAGCTGGCCTAGAACTCACTATGTAGACTAGGCTGGCCTCGAACTCAAAGAGACTGCCTGCCTCTGCCTCCCAAGTGCTGGGATTACCAGCCTGGCTCCTCTACTTATAATTATGTGTCTTTTGGCAAATTACCAAATCTCCCAGAGCCTCAGTTTACTTTTTGAAAAATGAGGCTAATGAGACCTCCCCTAAAATGGGGTGTGGTGGAGGACCAGAGATGACACATGGCACAGGGATGGGGCCATAGCAAGCTGTCTGGCTAATCCTTTTCCTCACTCACAGGATGGTGCTTTCTCTCCCCTTCAAGCATTGCACAGGCCAGGCTGAAAAGCCACCAATACGGAAGCCCACCTTCAGAGAGCTCATGTCACACACACACCCCCACCCCCACCAAGGCAGGCTCTGATTTGGCATGCTGCCTACACTGCTCCTGACCTTGCAGACTGACATCTGGTTGGTGGTAAGGGTGCCTGTCTTGTCAGAGCAGATGACAGAGGTACAGCCCAGGGTCTCCACAGAGGGCAAGCTCCTCACAATGGCATTCTTCTTTGCCATCCGGCGAGTACCCAAGGCCAGGCAGGTAGTGATGACAGCAGGAAGCCCTGTGGGGATGGGGCGATGGCATGAGTGAAGTTCAGGAGGATGGAGGCCTAGTGTGGTCAGCTATCAAGTTCTTCTCCCTGGGTCCTGTCACTGTTACTTTATTTGGAAACAGTCTTTACAGATGAGATGAGTAGATGACAGAAGGAATGGCTGCCCTACCTTCTGGGATGGCCGCCACAGCCAAGGCCACAGCAATCTTGAAGTAGTAAATGGCCCCCCGGAACCAGGATCCCCCATGGACAGGATCGTTGAAGTGGCCAATGTTAATAAGCCAGACAGCCACACAGATGAGAGAGATGACCTTAGACAGCTGTTCCCCAAACTCGTCAAGTTTCTGCTGCAGTGGGGTCTTATCCTGCTCAGTGGCAGCCATTTGGTCTCGGATCTTGCCGATCTCAGTGCTCACACCAGTGGTGGCCACAATGCCCACAGCCTTGCCGGCTGCAATGTTGGTACCCTGGAAAGGTGAGGAAGGGGCAGGAATCAGGCAGGAAGTGGTCTTTGTGACTCAGGGTAAGAGCCTCATCTTTTCTTCCACTGCCAGGTTTCCCTCCCAAACCAGGTCCTCTGGCTGGGCAAGTGACAACTGGCCCCAGACTGCTCACCGAGAAAAGCATGTTCTTCTTGTCCTGGTTGACAGCTCGGGGGTCAGGGACGGGGTCTGTGTGCTTGATGACAGATACAGACTCTCCTGTGGAGAAAGGGCCAAAGGGGCTTTCAGGTAACATATCTTTCTCCATGGCTTCCTGGTGACACTGATTTCCTTCCTGATCCACAGAACAAGCCCTGGCAAAGACCAAGCAACCACCCTGGCAAAGTCTTGCCTCTGGAGGAAGATGCCTGAGGCAGATAGGAAATCCATTGCACTTAAGGGTCAAAAAACCATGGCCGAAGCCCAACAGCATATGCTTTGATTGCTCAACTTCTATTTACTCCCCTTGTCCTGGTGAAAATCAAATAAGCCGCTGGCTGTGGCGCTGTGCTGTTGGCTCAGAACACATTCCTGGACCACTGTTGGGATGTGGCCTCCTTCACCAATGACCCTCCCACTGTGGGCCCAATCTTGCTTTGCACTCTCTCCTTCTCAACAGAAACAGGGGCAGTCACAGTTTCAAGTGTGACCAAACTCCGTAGTCTGTCCCAGAATCTTGGTTTCTCATTTGAGGACTTTTCAGGATGTTGGAGACAAGACAGTTGTGTGTATTGGGGGTGGGGGGTGTTCCTATGTCTATATAGAAGGATTGGGGTGATGGCTATATGGAGAAAAGGCACACATGCCTCCCCCATAGTCCCTTAGGACACACTTAGGACATACTGCAAGCTGAGTTGCATGGATGATGCTACTTAGGAGCCAGGAAGTGGCCCTACTTTGGACTATCCTTCATTCACCTGAGACCTTATCTCTGTCTGTCCTCCTAGTTCCTCCTTCACTGCATCTTCCTACCTGGGTCAGCCTACCTGTCAAGATGGACTGGTCGACGCGGAGGGTGGTGGATTTAATGGACAGGATGCGGATGTCTGCAGGGACTTTGTCCCCCACTACAGAAAGGGGAGAGAAGAATGAGTTCAGCTGGCAATGGATCTTTCTTTCTTCCCAAACTCTGCCTCATCCACCTCTCAGATCCTACAGCATCCACCCCTGGCTTTCATCAGGCCTTCAGCTTGAGATCTCCCATGCCACCCTACCCTTGCCACCTATGACACCATTCCTATGTTGGTTTGTTGAATGTTTATCTTCCTGCTATCTGTGAACTTATGAAGGGAAGCTCACAAAATTTCCGGCATGTAGTATGGACTCATGAAATGTGCTCTGAATAATGACTCTGAAGGGAAGATTGGGGAGACAATCCGGCTAAAACAGAATGAAACAGCAAAACAGAAAGAGAGATAACAGAAAGGTGAAGCGGGGAAAGCCAAGAACATACCTAACTCAGAGAAAACAGGGTGTGTGGGAGGAAAGTGAAAAGGTGACAGGATCAGAGAACAAGACGGATGCTGGGGAAGGCTGATTAAATCCAGGTCAACCAAGAGCGAAAATGGAATGTGAAACAAAGAGTGCCCAGAGGGAAGTGTGAGGGAGCGCTCCAGAGGGCATGGGTCAGGGCTCAGGTGGTCAGAGGGAAAGTGGGACGCCAGCCTGCAAAAGCAACTTGGGATGTCTGAGGAGGATACTTTGCCAGCCTAGAGACCTTTAGGGGAGGGCGCTGCCTCCTTGGTCCTATGGGTGGTACTGAGCACAAGGTTCACCTGCTTTCCTTTCCCTTAGTTTCTAAGATCACTCCTCCAGTGCCATAGGAAGCAGGAAGAGGTCAGCAATGGAGTCAGGCAAATACCCTGTCACCCAAGCCCAAGTGATATTTATAGACATTCATGGCGCTGACTCGAAACTGTCACCATAGCAGGACTGCCCTGTAATGGGGCTATAGGGTCCTCAATCCATAGGCCCTCCTCTTCATGCCTTCCCCAGCAGTGATATGGTGTGGAGGGTAACATGGGTGACATAGTGTGAGGGAAGGAGGCTTGGAAGGATGCATTCTCCAGGCTAGAGACCTAGAGAGGTGGTAAGGCCTGCACAGGGCAAATATAAAAAGCGCTGAAGGGGGCAGAATCCCAGTAATCTTAGCCACCCGGCCCCGCCCCTCCCTGGGCAGGCATTAAGTGTCCCTCAGGGGGGCAGGGCCCTCCTTGAGTTCCCTCCTTTTAGGTCCCGTGCTTCAAGCTGGGACAGAACTAGGAGTTGCCCTTACATGGTTGGGGGCTTAAGCTTTGCTCCCCCCCCACTTCTACCTTCGCTCCTTCCCCCTTTGCAAGGCCTCAAGGACACTGAGAGGTCAAGACTGAAAGCTGACCAAGCTTGGGGTGGGTGGAAGGAGTGGGGAGCCAGGCCTGGGAGGGGGTGGAGATGGGCCATTGGCAGGGAGTGGGTTCCACCTGTTGCTTGCAAGTGCTGGGTGAGAGGAGGGGTAACTGGGGGGTCTGTCTGCAGCCTCTAGGACAGGACTGGCTGTTCCTGTTGAGACTCCAACAGGGAGGGGGTACTGTGGCCTGAATGTCCTGGGGTGACCCCTGAGGAGTCTGGGAAGGAGAAGAAGACACCACCATTCTCCTGGGCACCACGATCAAGGCTGACCATCCCCTGCTTTCCTCTTGGCCTCAGGCCTCCCCTCCTCGACCATTCATTCCTAGCACTCACCAGCCACCTCCACAATGTCCCCAGGGACAATGTCCCGAGCCTTGATCCTTTGTACTGACTTGCGATCAGCCCTGTAGACCTTCCCCATCTCGGGCTCATATTCCTTCAGTGCCTCGATGGCATTCTCTGCATTCCGCTCCTGGGGGACAAGGACAGAGAAGAGCAGGATCAGATGAGGAAGAAAGTTCTGGAATGGTAGGAGACTGGTCTAGCTGCGTGGGGAGGGATGAGCAGGGATCGGGGTTCTAGCAGAAACAGAGACATAGCAGAGGAGATTGATATAGGTGTAAATGGCACAGGGAAGCAGAGAGAACCCCGCATGACAGCAGGTGTGTATGTTGCAGAATATGTCATCTGAGCTAAACACAGTTAGGAGGGGTGAAGAAAGGAATGAAAAACCAGAAAGCAAGAGACAAGGAAAGTAGTGGTAAGGTCAGAGGAAGCAGGAACTCAAACTAGGATTTATTGAGTTCCTGCTGCACGCCACACGGGATCATGTTCATCTGTGGAATTGTACCACAAATCTGAGGCATCCACTTATTAGCCCTGTTTCTTTTCCTTTCCTTTCCTTCTTCTTTCTCCTTCTTTCTCCTTTCCTCCTCCTCCTTCTCTTCTCCTTTCCTTTCCTTTTCAAGACAGGGTCTCATGTAACCCAGACTTTCCTCAAACTCATTAGGTAGCTAAAGCTGTCCTTGAATTCCTGATTCCCCCGTCTCCACCTCCCGAATACTGGGGTTACAGATGTGTGCCACCAAGTGTATCTTTTTTTTTTTAAGACAAGATCTCACTAGGCATGATAGCACACACCCTTAATCCCAGCACTTGGGAGGCAGAGGCAGGCAGATCTCTGTGAGTTCAAGGCCAGCCTGGTCTACATAGTGAGTTCCAGGACAGCTGGGGCTACAGGGAGACCCTGTCTCAAAAAGATCAAAAAACAAACAAACAAAAAGACAAGGTCTCACTATATAGCCTTGGAGATTCTCCTGCCTCTGCCTACAGAGTGCCAAGATTATAGGTGTGTACCGCCACACCTAGATTATTAGCTTTATTTCATAGATGAGGAACTTGCTTAGGGTCATAGGGTTATAGAGTCAGCAAACGGCAGTGTTTCTCAACTTTCTCCAGCACATGATGTCACTGCCAAGCTAGATGAGAAGATCAGAGGAGCAGGTAAGGCCAGGGGAAGTGATGAAGGAGGAGACTGGAAGGAAACTTGGCTTCATGCTCAGTGTTGAGACAGGAGGAAAGAAGTGTCAAAGCTAACCTGCCAGACGCCAACGATGGCATTAGCAATGAGGATCAAGAGGATGACAAAAGGTTCGACAAAGGCAGTGATGGTCTCTTCGCCTTCCTCAAACCAGGCCAGCACCTGAGAGGGAAAGGGAGAGAAGAGCAGGTAACAAAGCCCTCAAATGACTAAAGAACATGGAAGACGTCCAAAGACCACCACAGAGGTCAGACTGTGTGCAGGGGCTAATGGGGCCCACAGGCAACTACAGAACCACATCTGTGTGAAGTTCTACTCATGTAGGACTCAGAGCATGCATGCCCAGCCACCCCGTGATACAGTACGAATCAGCAGCACAGACATATACACTGTGGGAATTAACTGGGAATGTTTTCAGGTTTCTCTGACTGAATTGTTGACTTGTAAGCAAATCTCAGGGGACACCTAGGGTCAACTACCCCCACAGTCACATCCATCCCATGGGGATGCAAGCTCAACAGGAAAATCCCTGTGGTGCTCAAAGGGCCCAGCCCACCCACAGCCCTCCCCCATGGTCAATGCATGGAAGCTCTAATTTCACCAGGGAGCAGGAAGGGGATAGGGTTACAGGGCCTCCTGTACACACCCCACCCCAGCTGTTGCCATTGCCAGGCAGAAGCCACAGGCAAATGTCAAGGAGCAAATCTGAAAAGAGAGGAGAGAGGCCCTGCCAGCTTGGGCTCAGGGGCTCATGAGGCCCCACAGAGGAGAACAAGGGGCAGGATGGCATTTTGTCTTGTCTTACAACAGTGTTAAGATGTTAAAGAAATTTAAAATGCAAGACAGGCTGTTGGAATGGTGGGTGCCAGCAGCAGGGGCTGTGGATACCAGTGATATAGCAGGGGATAGGGGTGGCCTAGGGCTGCAAGGGGTCTAAGGAGGCCAACAAGAAGTAAGGATGAATCAGGCTGGATGAAGAAAAGTAGGACCCCAAGTTCTAGCCCTAATGAGAGTAGGGATGGGGCAAAGCCTGGAGACAGTTGAGGGGTGCAAAGTTGGGGGGACATATTGTCATCCTTGCATCAGCAGCACCTTCCCGCTTTTCTAACAAGGCTTTCTTTTGGCCAATCAGCATCACATGCTGAAGAGGGCGGAGCAGGATTGCCAGGCCCTTAAGGGATTGGTGAAGCAGACTCCGGACCAACCAGGGCAAGCCAAGAGGGGAGTGGCAGTGGCCCCAGAGTGGGCACTATAGCCCACATCACAGCCGGGAGCCTGCGCTTAGGGGGGTAACCCGAGCCCTTGAAGACCTTGAAGCTGGGAGCTTCAGTGTTTTGGCCGAGAACACTCTTAAAGCTTAAAATAAAACCTCTCTGCAGGGTGAGGGAGAGGACAGAGGAGGATGCAAATCAGCACAGCACCCCCCAGCTCCAATATGGAAAATAGGATGCTCAGGGCTTGGACCAGGGGATCCAGGATGGTGATGGCGGTGAGCAGACCCTGATCCCCCACATCACACCTTAGACAACCCCTAGATGCCCTTGGCACTTACGAAGGAAATGCAGGCAGCCAGGAGAAGGATCCGCACCAGGAGGTCTTCAAACTGCTCTACCACCAACTCCCACAGGGACTTGCCTGGGAAGAGGCAAGGGGAAGAATCCCAGGGGTTGAGATCTAAAAGATGAAGGTCTGGAACTCTGGATAGGCTGGATCCAGGGTCTAGAGTGCTCTGGGTCCCCAGATTGATGGGCAGGCAGCTTGGCATTAGTGTAAGCAGAGGAAGCAGCCAAAAAGGCTATTCAGATCTGTGGTAAGTTGTTCAAGGGTGGGAGGCCTCAAGAAGAAAGTGCCTGGAGACTTCTGACCCAGAACTCTAAGCTTTAGAGTTATCTGCCTTTTGGTAAGGGGTGTGGGGTCTATAGGCAGGGAGAAGGGAGTAAGGCACATAGGAGCGGGGGTCATTTATGAGGGTTGAAGGCTCAGGTAACTTACCTTCCTCAGCAGGGAGCTCTACCCAGGAAAAAAAGAAGAAAAGGACATATTCATTGGGTATTCAGCCTCAGCCCCCACCCCCCAGGACTTTATGGCTAGGGTAAGGGAATCAGGCCATCAAAAGGGCATCTGAGGGTCAAGGTCATCCCATAAAACCTCCCAAACTTTAGATCTCAGAACCCCATTTTCTTAGTATCCTTCTCCCTCTACAACAAGATCACTGGGCAGCTCTTTCCTACCAAACCTTGGAGAGAGTAGCTCCCTCCCGTATGGGGGTAATGGAGGAGGGCAGCCACACCAGCCTTTCCCGAGGGACACTTACCATTGGGGCCGTATTTTTCCAGATGCCGCTTAACTTGGTCTGGGGTGAGGCCTGTGGTCTCGCTCACCCCAAAGTAGGACAAACATTCTTCTGTGCTCTTTGCATGTGCGGCCTCCATCCTGCTCCCTTCTTGGGGGCCAGGGGGCGATGTGTTCCTTTTGGGGGGCTCTCACTCCTTGGGGGACCTCCTCAACCTGTCCACCTGCCTGTCAATCTGGGCTTCTTTTTTCTTGCCTGCCCCCCCCCAGGTGTTTCTTCCCTCCACAAAGCTCTGACCCCAGTCCCACTTGCAGCAGCCGGCCACCCCCCCAGCCCCCAGCTGATCCTTATGAGGGAGTGGGGGGGTGCAAACTCCCCCTTCCCCCAGATCAGGGATTGGCTGGCTGAGACCCCAGCAGGAGGGGTCAGAAGAGAGAGATTTCTGCTGACAGAGGGGAACAGTGGGGCTGCAGCCTGAGATGTCACTCATGTGGGAAGCAAAGGTGGCTCCAGCCTCAGGGAAGGGGGGCAGGAACTTTACTTTCTGTTATGGGGTACTGACCCCTCCCTCAGTGGCTTCAACTCCCCCTCCCCCAGTTACACTAAATTTCCAATTCCAAACTCACCCTCCCCGACTCAGGTCTTTCCTTAAAGCCATCTTCCTCCCTTGACCTCCCCTTCTCATCCTTTTCCTGTCCTATCCATCCTGAACCCCTTTCCACTGTCACAGTCTCCTCCCCTGCCTAGTGTGTTTAGAGAGTAGAGGAGGTACTCCAAGCTTTCTGGGGGACCAATGGGGAGGGGAGAGCATCTTGCGGGGGACAGAGGAAATGGCTCTAGAAAGAAAAGGGGAAGTAGGGAGGGGAGAGGGTCAAGGGGACAGGGCAGAAGACAGTAACCTTACCCTAGGGAGGGGTTGCTACAGCCATCAACAAGGGATTTAGTGTCCAGGCCCTGATGAGCAGAGCCAGGGCTGCCTGTCTCTCCCCAAACCCCCATCCCCATGTCGTGTCGGTCCCCCCCCGCATCCCCACTACTGCTTTAGCTCAGCCTCTGGGAACACAGCCTTCAGCTCCCCCCACCAAACTGACAGGGAATCCCCCCCCACCACCAAAGAAAATGGGACACCCAGACAGCCAGGTAACCCAAGAGGCTACAGAATGTGCTGATGGCAGAGGGGGAGGGATAAGTGTTTCAGGGTGGGGCAGGGGAAGAAAGATCTCTTCATTTCACACTGGGCTTTAACTCCAGGGGTTTCATGGCTGACCCAAGGTGCACGGTCCTCATTCTGCTCTGGCCTTGATGAAGCTACCCTCAGAGGGAGTGAGGATGGGGCCTGGTAGGTGTGCTCTGGAGCTGGGCCTGCCCCCCGCCCCAGTACCAGAGGGCCCAAGTGCAGGGCCCCTGAAGCCTGGATAGAGCAGAGGTTCCAGACCCCTGGGGTAGAGGGCAGGTACAGAGAAATGAGGACAGAACAGAGCTAAATGCAGAGGGAGCAGAGGCTGCTACCGCCAGGGAAGTCCGAGGAGCAGAGGGAAAAGAAACAGCAGGGCGCTGGCAGGGGCAGCCAGGTGGGCGGTGCCCCAGGGGCTGGGTGCAAAGCTACACGTTGTTGCTGAGCGGCTGGCCTGGGTGTCAGCTTCCTCTGAAAAGCAGCTGCTGCGTGGCGCCCTTCCCCACCCTGCTCCAGCATGGGGGCGTCTTGGTTTTTCACCAGGGCAGCTGCTGGAGGAGCAGACAGGGAAAATGGGGCTGGATGTGCAAGCAGGGACAAAATCAAGGCAGAGATGGTTCCTGGGAGTAAAAGGTGAAAAGATCAGCGAAGGCCAGCAGCCTGTGACCCTGGAGCACAAGTCCCTCTCTGCCCAGGCCTCAGTTTCCCTGAAATAACCAAGGAACACTTCCTATGCCAGAGTTCCTGCACAAGAATGGCACAAGCAGCACAGCAGGGCAGAGCAGAAAGAAGTCCTACTTGTTTGGGGGAAGGGATGCCCAGAAATGAAGGATTGGGCCTCCTGCTTCACAGGGCCTGGACTTGGGGGAGGGCAGCCTGGGTGACGTGAGGACAAGGTGTTCTTCCCGCCCTCTTTTCACAGTTCCCACAAACCCCTCCCTGGGAGCAGAGTCCTGCTGTGACCTGGGGTGGAGGGGCTCAGACAATGGGGTGTGAATGTAAGGATTCACATCAACAGGCACCTCCACCTGGCCCAGCACCTTTCACCTCAGGCCAGAGGCTTGGGCCCTGGCTGGCACTCTCCCCAGCAGCACCTGGAGGAGTGACAAGGTCACTGTCTCCCAGCAGCAGGAATGCCCACACATGGAGAGGGGGAGGGACAAGAAGTCAGTGAGGGAAGGAGGCAGTCTTCACGGCACACTCCTGCCAATGAGGCCCTTTGAGGTAATTCATTTCTACCTCCCCCAGCTTCCCAGAGGGATAAATGAAGTCCAGAGAGGGAAAGCCACCAGCCCAGGACTACAAAGGACACCTCCCAGCACTACAACCTGGGGTGGACGATCATGGACCTGAACTGGTAGAGGCTCCCTCCTGAATTCTGGAGCCTGAGTTCTGGAGCTGAGGAAGGGGTAGAGGCCTGATTGTTAAGGGAGTGGAGGCATAGTCTGCCCAGCCCTGACCAGTTCCACAAAGACAGGCTTCATCTAGTTGTCTCTTGGGCTCTTCTAACCAAGGCTTGGCAAACTGGTGAAGTGGATGGTGCCTTTGTGTTGTCTCAGGGTGGCAGGTCCCTCAAGGTTGGCAATGCCCAGGAGGGGAGCCTTTGAGCACCAGTTGCCACTAGATTAGGAGGATCAAGCCCTGCCCACTCTGAGGTGTCACAGCCCTGCTGGCCATTTCTAACTATCTCACATGGAACACACAGCACCCAGGTCTCCAACCCCACCCCCACCCCCACAACAGGGCCAATCCAATATCTAGTCAAGGCCAAGACTTGGGGAGCCCCAGGGATGAAGCAAAACAAGAGCCAGCAGGCTTCCCCCAACCAGCCCCCATCCAAGGTGGCCTGTGAGCCCAGCTGTCTCCTGTCCATCTCCCCATAGAACAGACACAAGGCCCAGAATAGCAAGGTCATAAGCATGGGTAGGGCCTCCTGGAGGTGGGGCAGAGGCTAAGAGACAGAAGAGTGAGTGGCTGCTCTACTTTCCCAGGGGGAGGGGAAACACCGAGGTAAGAGGCATGAGGTAGAGAGAGGGCCCCAGCACAGTAAGTAGGAAGTGGGAGTCTTCAGATCCTGCCTTCTTCCTGGCAACCCACCCCCACTCTCAAGCTAGGAAGCCAGGGTGCCCTCTGTTGGAGGAGGGCTCAGCTGCAGTGCAGAAAGAAGCTTTCAGAAAACAAGAGTCCAGGTTTAAAGATGGGAGTTCCTATACCAGGGCAGAGTGGCGCATGCCTTTAATCCCAGCATTTGGGAGGCACGCAGTGGCAGGCGGATCTCTTTGAGTTCCAGGCCAGCTGGGGCTACAGGGAGACCCTGTCTTAAAAAGATCCCCCCCACAAAAAAAGGTGGGAGTTCCATGGTAGGGGTGGCTGCAAATTTCATGTCCACAGCCCAGGTCTCAGGGGAGGGAAGTGAACCGGCAGGCTGGGGAAGGTGTGGAAGCTAGACTCAGGTAGCTAGATCTTTTGACTTTCAAGGGAAGCTTTGAACATTTATATGAAACTCAAGCAGAAATAGAAACACTGAAGCCAAACCATGTTAGCAGCACTGACAGAACAAGATGAAACTTCACACTTTACAGAGGACGATACCAAGGCCCAGAGTGGCTATGCCTTGCCCCTTGTCACACAGCAAATGAGAACAAAGCCAGTACTCTGTCCTGTAGGCCCCAGCTTGGCTTTGACAAAGGGGACAAATTAGCTTGGCCTTGGGCCCCTCTGCAGGTCGGACTCTGACAGACACATTAAATGTCACCCAACACTGTGACCCCTCTATCTCTTGTCTACTTTCTTCCTAGGGTAGGAAGCTTCACTAAAAAATTCAGTAAAGCCAGGTGTGGTGGAGCACTCCTTTAATCCCAGCATTCAGGAGGCAGAGGCAGGAAGATCTCTGTAAATTCCAGGCCAGCCAGGCTACCTAGTGAGTTCCAAACTAGCCAGCATGACATAGTGAGAGCCTGTCTCAAAAATAAATATCAGTAAAGGGAAGTCTTTGGTGATAATACATCCTATCTTTCACTGTCTTGTTCCTTTAAGAGAACCAGCTGGCAGGCTGTAAAGGTGTAATCCCAGCACACAGGAGGCTGAAGCAGGAGGATTACAAGCACTTTGGTTACATAAAATGCTATTTCAAAACACACCTTCACCCCTGAACAAAGAACATACTGGAACTTCCAAGAAGCACTGTTGAGCTCTGCACTCACCACCCAGCAAACCAAATAATCTACAGAAGTGGCCCTGAAGGCCTGATTAGCATGTGAAGAGACTGGACCCAGGCCAGTCCTCAGGCCTCAGCTCTGGAGCTCCCTAACTGCCTTTTCCATGTCCCACATTCAACTGCAGACAGCCATCGTGATGGAACTGAGATAAACCCTTTATTTATTTATGCTTCTCCATTTTGTTTAAAACAACAACAACAACCACCTTAATATAACTGACAGCCCTTCCCCCTCACCCTTGCTCGGGTTGGGGGTGATTAGTGGGGAAAACAGCCCTCAGGGGTGGGGCTATCCGTAAGAGCTCCTGGGGAGATAATGGAGCCCACGTCCCCGACCATGGGGCAGGGGCACCTGTAGTGTAGTTAACTGGGGACGTAACAGGGCTCTTGAACCGCTGCTTGTACCAACATACAAGCCCTTGGCTGACAAGGGTCAGGAAGCATGTGGGGAGGGGAGTCCCACTCTTTTCTGTGTCCCTACCCAGCCAGTCTCACAACCTACGGCTGGGAGGAATAGAATGCAGGGTGGGCAGGTATCTCACACAAAGGAGTACTGGTTATTAATGGCTCGGGGGTGGCCCCCTTCTTCTCCACTGCCCCCTAGTGGTAGCTGCTGGAGCTGCACCATTAGGGACATCCCCAAGTCCCCACCAGAGCCAGCAACACCCTGTGCCTCAGTGCCTGGTGCTATGGCCTCTTCCAATTCAGCCACGGGGACCAGCTCAGCCACGGGGACCAGCTCTTCCGGGCCCCCTCCACTGCCCGCTTTCTCTTTCTCTTGCCTCTCTTTGGCTGCTGTGGCTGTGGCTGTCGCCACTTCTGGCGCCCCCGACGCCTCTTCTGCCCCAGGATGTGGGGGATCTGTCCATGGAGGGGGTTCAGGGGGCTGGGTTGGGTCACGGGAGGTGTTCGGTTCTGGATGGGAATGGTAAGAAGACACACTGATTGTGGAAGGAGGTGAGCTCTTGCAGTGGCCTCCCCTTCACTTGTTCCCCCCAGGAACCATGTGCTATCTCCCCCACACCCCATCTCCTGAGCAACCCCCCTCCATGGAAGATGGATCATGGGTAGCGGTGAGAGGAGGACCACACTTACACACAGTCACTCGCTCCGAAGGGCAGGAGGGTAGAGGAGGCATCGGGGTAGCATCGGTCGCCCTCACACACCCCTGCATGGCTCCCAGCCTGCTCCCGGCCTGGGGGGGGGAGGGGCAACGTGGGGACAGATGGGACGATGGGGTGGGGGAAAGTGAGAGATCAGACAGGGACATCAGACATCAAGGGAGGAAGGTGGGGGATCAGACCATGAATCCCCCAAAAGGGCAGGCCCGAGGAAGGTCACGTAACAAAGGGCAAAGACAAGGCCAGGGAGGACAGGTCCAGGAGACAGACGATGATGGAGCGGAGGATCCGATGGAATGGGAATGCACCACCCAACTCTACTGCCCATGGCCCCAGAGGAGCCTCTGCCTGCCTGCATCCTGTCAGCCTTCTGTTGTCCCTTCCAGGCCCCTGCCCAGGTGCCATGGCTACCCTGCTCCCCACTAATAGAGCCTCTCCTCCAGCCCCCCACCCCGTCTTCCTGGCACACACACCTCACTTCTTGGGTGCACGGGCACCTCTTCCCCTGCAGACCTGCTCTGCTCACCCTGCTGCCGCTGGGAGGGCACATAGCTGACAAGGACAACATCACTGGAGCCTCCAGACTCCAGAGGGATGGGATGCACCCGGAAGTGCTCAAGCATATCGAAAATGGACTGGAACCACAGATGTTGGACCCGGCACTGACCCTCCTCGTTCAGTGACAAACGCAGGTGCTGAAGGCAGGATGAGCAAGTGAGGTGGGAGCTTAGGCCCCTGCCAGTTATAAAACCCTCCTCCCCTGGACAATGGTATTCTAAGATCCACCTGTAACACTGCCCAATAGAGTTCTCTAGGACCACTCACCTTGGCCTTGCCCTGGAAGTTGAAAGTAAGGACGTATTCACCCCGTCTTGTTTCACTCTGACGTACCAAGAAGACACCATGGGAGCCAGTGCCTCCTTCCAGCACTAACTGGGCAGCCTTGAGTCGAGAGAGCATCCCATGGAACCAAGGGTATCCTGAGAGGGGCTGATCTCCCTCGCCTCCCTCTGACTCCCCCTGGAACAGGAATGACCCTTCAGAAAGGAGAGAGGGGAGACCAGAGTGTTAGAGAGGCTTCCCCTATCCTGGGAAAACAAAGCAGCCTTTTCCCGCTCCAGGTGCCCCTTCCCACCCAGGTCACTGGCCCCTCCCAGGTTTGATCCCTCCAGCTCCCAAGGCAGGAGTACCAGCCAGGAGACACTCATGCACCCGATACCTGCGGCTGCTTCCGGAGTGTCCAGGGGAGGGTAGGGGGTTGAAAGGGGATGGACTGTCCCTGCTGGGGGCCCCTCCTCAATAGGGATGCGGGGGGGCAACTCTGGGGGAAGCAGTTCCATTGAGTCAAAATGGGAGGCGGCAATGGAGGCAGAACTGGGAGAGAAGGATGCTGAGGGCCGGTCTGAGAGGCCCCCATAGGCCCCTGGAAGAAAATGGAGGAGGAAAAAGTTGAGAATGCCACAAGTTCCTCTTCTGCAGACCTGGGCTCCTGCCCATTTCCCGCTGGCTGTCCACTCGTGTGCCCAGCCCCCGCACACCTCTGGAGGAGTGACCCTGATAGATTTTACCAATGGCTCTGACTTACACTTCTTGCACTGCTGAGGGACCGTGGTTATTGCGAGGAGATCCTAGAATCCAAATGTGCCTATGTCTTTTCTGAATGAACAGCTGAAAGATTATTGCAATGGTTGGTGGGGCCAGGGGCAGAATCCCTCAAAAATGTTTACATTAGAAAGGAGTCCTTTGTTTAGAGGGCAAAACTCCCAGCTCTTGAGAGGCATCAAAAATCCTCTTTGTCAGGTGGTACATTCCTGTACCAAGCACTCAGAAAGCAGAGGCTGGAGGTTTCTAGGCCAGCCTATGCTGCAAAGTGAGATCCTGTCTCACAAAACGCTGACAACATCTTCAGTGTTAAGAGTGCTTGCCTAGTAAGAGCAAGGTCCTGGGTTCACGCCTCAGTGCCAAAAGAAGAAAAAAAAAAAAAAAAAAAAAAACCTCCCCTTTATAACCCCCAGAAAAAAAATTTAGTTTTTTTTTCTTCCCCCTGAGCCAAAAAAAAAAAAAAAAAAAAAAAAAAAAAAATCATCCTCCTATTAATCCCCGTAAGTCAAATCTAGTTGATTTTTACTCTCCCTGTGTCTGTGAGTCTTCCCTTTGGCCCATCTAGCCTACCCCTTGCCCACGAGTCCTGGCCTCCCCACCTCAGGTCTCTTCGAGGGTCCTGGCTTCCCTCAAGCTACTCTTTCATCTCACATCCTCTGTTCAGCGCTTTGTCTCTTCCCCTCCCTTGCTCTCCTCTTCCTGAGCTCCCAAGGTACATCCTGCTTATGCTCGCTAAGGACATTAAGCATTCTCTCCATTTTCGAGACCTACTTTTTATTGGGAGTAATGTCTTACTAGTTCAGCTAGACTGAACCCAGAGAGACCAAGGAGCTCATCTGAAACATGTGACTCCTCCAACCACTCCAGGGCCTCCCATGCAGCATTGATGTACTAGGGCCTGACTGAATGTCTACCCAGTCACAGGCCTAGACTGACAAGAGACATGGCCATAATGCTTAGAAGACAGGCATGCACGGATTGAGGACAAGGGCTCAGGAGCCAGGTTAGTGTAGCCTATCTCTGCCAGTGACCCTCAAGTGACCCCAGAAAATCCACTTCCTCCCTGTGGTCTTTACATGCAATCTGATAACTTGTAAGATCTACTCTAGGTCTAATGATTCCAATCCATGATGAACTCTGTTGCCAGAATACAGCCTAGGGGCCAGGCACTGTGAAGCTGAACTAAAACAATAAAGGTCGGGAGAAAGGGTAGACTGGAAGTTGGGTCTAGATGGTGAGCTGGGCCAGGCACATATGTGTCTTTTAGCATGTGAGCGTGACTGGTTAGGCCAAAAGTGAAAATGTGAAGGCCACTGACATATGCACAGAGACATGGAACAAGAATAAAACAAAGATGTCCACAAAGTATTCCAGAAGCTTGGAGAAGAGAACCACTATTTCCAGACAGAGTGTTGGCCTGCAGGACACTTATAAAAAATGGAACAAGGCTGGTGTACAGGCTGGATAGGAGTTTGTTTGTGACCAGTCCGTGTGGGGTGGTGATGGTAATGATTCTAAATGGCAAAATGTGGCCCAAGGGTTATGTTCTGGGATTAAATACAGTGGGGTGTATGTGGAGCAGCTAGGGAACAGAAACAGAGTGTCCAGTAGTTTGCAGAGAGAATGTGGGCCTGATAGCAGGAACCTGGCTCAGCAGCTCTCAAAGGCTCCACCTTACCCTGTGACAGACGGTCGTTACTCTCACTGGGTCCCAGCAGCAGATCCTGGCTGGGCAGATTCTCTGAGTGATTTAGGCAGGGCAACTCCAGACTGTCTGTGTTATCCTTTATGAGGAAGGAGGTCCCAGGAGCCAGGGGAAGGGTCATGGGGCGGGGACTGATAGCAGGGCAGGGTCTACAAAGACAGAGAAAACAGCGCTGGGGAGAAAGTCACCAGGAGAGAGGCACAAGGTGGCTCCCGTATCCCACCTCCAGATCTCTTCAGGGACACAGGTATACTTCTTACCCTGGGCTTAGGCATTCTTGGATGTCAGACACCCAGGCCTTCACATGAAGTGCATCAGTTGTCTCCAGAATGTACTCTGAGGGGCCTTCGACCTATAGGGCCAAGAGTTGGGGACTTAGCCACAACAGGGTACAGAAGGCCCACAGGCCACATCCACCCCAGAGGAAAACAAGAAGCCCAAGTCCCAGGGACAGACCCAAAGTCTTTGACATATACATGCCCCTGGCTCCCAAAAACCTGCCTAAATATATCAAGAGCTTCCTCTCAAGCACAAGCACTCCCTGGGGCAGAGCTCAGGGCTCCTACCTTAACCACAAATGTGTTCTCCCTGTCAGGCATCTCTAGGGCTGTGGTTGTCCTGACATCTGTGATGGTAGAACAGGGAATGCTGAGTCGAGGTCGTGACGCCTAGGTGGGAAAGGGAGTCAAAGTTAGTCATTTGATGTGCCAAGGCCAGCTGTCCCTCCCTCCAGACATTCATCTTCCTTTCTGTGTCCTAGGTGAAGTGATGAGGTAATAGCCCTGCTATCCCAGTCCCTCCCACAGCAACTGATGGGAGCCCACAGTTAGCTTTAAACTCAGGATAGCAAAGCTATTCACCAGCTCATGGCTGGTGAATGCCATGGGTATCTGCAGGGCTGAGCTACCTACCACCCCAGCTACTCTGTGACTTGCTCCCAGCTACCCAGTCTCCTGTGGGCTCACCTTGGGTGGTACAAAGAACTCCAAACGGCTTCCTCCTCCTCCTTCTCCTTCACTCCGGAGCAGTAAGCGACACTTCTGCCACTGAGGCTGCCCTCCTCCCCCTGAGGTCAGCCCAGCTGCCCCTCCCCGAACCATTCCTGCTGGGTCAGGAGCAGCCTCTTCAGCCCCCATGAAACTCAACAGCTCTTCCCTCTGCACCATTCCTGTTCCATCTTTTATGGTCCCCCCTCCCCGACTCAGTCTCAGCCTCTCAAAGCGGTGAGTCCATCTCTCCCCAGGGGATGTGCCATCACTAGCCAATCCCCTACCAATGGTCCCAGTCCCGCCAGAGGAGTTGGAGTTGCTGTTTCCACCTAGGACCGGAGGGCCTGATGAGGTCTCCAGGGGCCCAGCTGAGGAGGGAGGGTCAACAGTCCCCCGCCACTGCAGAATGCCTCGGACTGAACCTCTGACAGAACGACCCACTGAGCGAAGGGAGAAGCGTTTCTTGAGCTTCGGCTTTGAAGAGGTTGTAGAAGAGGAAGAAACTGAGGAAGGCAGGGGCCCGGCCAGGTCCTCAGAAGATCGAGAAGGGCCCAACACAGCCAGGGGACCACCCACCCTGCAGCTCTCAAGGGACAGGTCGTGTGGTGGTGGTATCTCCACACCAGGGCTCAAAGGGGCCAAGACAGGTGAGGAGAGTGAGCCTGAGGCCCGAGCCACCTCAGCTTCAAAATGCTGCAGGAAGAGCTCAGCAAAACGCCGGGAAAAAGCGGCTTCGGCCCCAGGCCCTGCATACTGAGGGTGGGAGGCCAGGTAGAGGCGGAATCGGCGAGCAAAATCCAGGGCAGCAGCCCTTGCATGAGACTCACAGAACTCCCGCCAACTTGGGGGAGGGGGTGGTGGCAGCGCTGGTGGAGAAGGGAAGGCCCCGTCCTCCGGGGAAGGGGCACCATTCATGATGGGCCCCAGGAGAAGGACAGGGGGAGCCTGTGGGCAGGGACAGCAAAGAGGGAAGCAGCCAGAAGACACGGGGTGAGTGGCAGCAGCTGCAGGAGGAAAAGAGAGGCACATCCATGGAGTCTCTGCAGAGATAGGACCAGAATCCATCCCACCCCAAGCCAGGGACTCCTATTCTGTTCAGACTCCTTAGGGAGCCATGGGGGAAGACAAAACCACTCTGCCTTCTCCATCACCCACATCACACACATAACCCAGGGATGAGGGATGCCAGGCCCAATTTCTATCCTGCATCTCTCCTGCTGTCTTCACTACCACTCTCCCTGCTGTGAAATCCAGGAATGAGAGGGCCTCGAAGCAACTGACACCACAAAGAACTCTTCCGGATCACCACTGTCCCTTCTCTAAGACAAAGCCTTCACTATCACATATTTTCTATGTGCCATTCCAGAGGGTTCCAAAAGGTACATTCTGCTTGTTGAGCTCTGCAGATGAGGAAACAGAAGCTCAGACAAGTTTTAGAACTCTTGAGTCTACTTTGTAGGCCACTGCACGGCTCTAGTCCCCAGAGACTGGCTGGAGTAGCCTCAGTCATAGCTCCTACTGCCCTGCCCTCAGGGGCCAAAAAGATGCTGGGACTACAAAGTTTAGACACCTTGCTTCACATAACAGCTCTAAGAAGGAAGTTTGTTCTTCCATGCCAATGAATGAAAGATGGATTAAAGTGAGGCTGATCCCACAACCCAGCACCTGAGCACTGTCTGAAGACTTGGACTGACTACAAACCAGTCTTTGGGTTGCCCAATTTACTCTGGGGTTGACTCACAGCATTGCCACAGTAGGAGAGATAGTTTTGTTGAGTCAGGACAAATCTTTAGTGGCCTTACATAAATAAGACCTCACAAGGAGCTGGGGCCCAAGATTTTTTTTCTCTCCATGGGGACTGTGCCCTAAAGGCTGGTTAGCCTGTGAAACTTGGACTGAGACCCCAGCTCAGCCACCTGTTAGCTGTGTGAGTCCCCGCTTCTGTATCTGTGAAACAGTTAATAATGTCGGGAAAATGAAATTAAATGCAACATGTCAGTGCTTGACACAAAGTAAGTACACAAGAATAACTGCCACTATCACTGTCTTTATGGGAGAGGAAGGAATTGAGGTTCCCATTTGCTCAAAGAGAAATAAAGACTTCTGAAGGTGTCACAACCCTAAGTCACTAAAAAGTAGCAGAGCTGAGCATGTAATTTACAACAGGTGACTCTTTGGTGAGCATTCCTCCCCTATGCTACACTGCAAGGTGACAGCCCAGGGCAGTTCAGGAAAGTCTCCCCAAACCACCAGTGATCTCAGCCTCCTGATCAAACCCACAGGCAGGCTGTAGGTCCCTTCCTTTCCTCCTTGCTCTAGGTTCTACAGGCTCAAATGACTCCAACCATAGGGACAACTCCAACCCGCTGAGAAGCAGCCCAGAGATGCTGGAGTCACAGAGCACTGGGGAACCCAGCCAAGAGGTGCAGACACAGCAGAGACAGTCTCCAGCCAAAGGCTACCTCGGTTCACCCAGGCCCACCCAGCCCTCTGCACCACCGGCAGGCCCAGCCCCCTTCAGGCCCGCTGACCCTGCGGTTCCTGAGCTGGTGACTCAGTTTCTCTTCTGCCAAGAAGGACTCAGACACAATTTCCCGGTGCACCTGCCTCTTGGCTTAGTTCTGACATTCCCGAAGGGCGGGTGGTGGAGGGTGCAGGCTGCGCTCCAGGTTCGGACGCTGCGGGCCCTGTGGTCAGTCCACCCGGACCCGACCCTATTCGCTGGCCAGTCTCCACATGCCCCATCCCCGGGGCCGGAGCCTCCCGAGAGCCAGCCCGCTCTGCTGCCCTCTCCGGAGCCTAGTGCCCTTGCAGCCCGAGCCCCCACGCCCACCCCCGCCCAGGGCTCCTAAGGCGCCAGGGTCGGGTCGCAGAGGGGGAAGAGGCACTAGAAGAGGGGGGGTTCCGGTTCCGGTCCTACCAGCATCTCGGTCCCTGCGGTTAACTCCGGCGGCGGCGGCGCCTCCCGCTCCCGCTCCCTGCGCCCCCCGCCTCCACTACGAGCTCCCAGTCCACCTCTGCGCATGCGCAAGGACGGGTTTTCCCGACGCGGAAGGAAACGACCATAGAGAAGAGGGGCCAGAGGGAGGGCGCTGCATCTTCACTTCCGCTCCCCCCACCTCTGCCCCGAGCTTTCCGCCGCTAAGCCGACGTGGATCTCTTAGAGTTTCGGTGACTGCTCCACCTGCACCTGAAAGGGACCCCGTGGGCCGGCGGTGGGTCCCACCACAGCGTGCTGGGAGGGAATCCAGACGGAGGAGAGGACGCCACCGTGGAGCCGCTTGCGTGAATCGAGTCCCGAGTCCCCGCTGAAGGCTAGAGTAGCCGCAGGCCGTACGCAATCAGCGAGATGATCACGCTCTCTAAGGGCCGGCTGCAGCCTAGAGCGCCTGGCTCTGTAGCCAGGAGGCCCGCGGACACTGCCCCCAGGGAGCTGGGCGAGGATGAAGCGGTGACCTTGGGAAGCCATGAGAGCGGACGAGCCGAGCCTAAGGACTGAGGAAAGGGGCGGGTGGTCCAGGAGGATCCCCCTTAGGCGGGATGTAAAGATGGGGGCAGCAGTAGTGAGGTCAAGTTCCGGGCGTGCTTCGGGGACATCAGAAGGTGAACGTGTAGCTTGGAGTTCAAGGCAAGTTACCGGGAGTGAAGAACCGAAGGATAGCATGTGCACAAAGGTGCTCTAGCGATCCAGGCTCGCATGGACCCAGCTTCACCATGCTCCAGTAATTGAAAAGTCCAGAGTGGGTCAGGATCGTTGAATACAGGATCCCAAAAATACTAGCAACCTGTAACTTGACATCTCTGGTTGTACTTTCCCAGGCGTTTGGCTTTACCCGCAGGCTGACCTTCCTCGTGGAGTCAAGGCGTTTCATATTTTCCAATTTAAGGCCTAATAGTTTAGCAACTTAGTTGAAGGAGCATCCCTTTTCTGAGATTCCTCAATAAAATTTCCAGAGCTAGGCTGGTAAGATGGCTCAGTGGGTAAAAGCACTTGCTGTGCACGCCTCATGACCTGAGTTCGATTCCCAGAACCCATGGTAGAATAAGAGAAAGGACACTGGAAAGTTGTCTTCTGAACACCAGAGGACACGAGGCCATGGCACACACTTGCACATACACAAAATAGTAATAATAAAATTTAAATTTAAAAATAATTTCGAGAACCAACTGGCCAAATGAATTAAGTGTCCATCCTAGAACACAAAGGCAAGTGACCCAGGAAATTGAGATGCATAACTGAATGGTCTGAACTCTCAAAAAGAGAAAAAATAATCTTGAATCTCCCCAGCTGTAATCACACTAGCATCTGCTCACAGATGGCCTTTGCAGAAGTCTTCATCATCAGCGTCCCTTTTACTACTTCAAAGGAAGATGGGAATGAAGGGAACCCCTTCCCTGTGATCTACCTCAGACTCACACACCTCTATAGCTGGCCCATCCATCTAGGATAGACATAGATATGGAATACAGAAGGACAAAGCTGCTGTTAAGCTTGGATGTGTTGGATCTAAGCTGTCCACTCAAAACTTTTTATTGGTGGGGGGTGCTGGGGATCAAACTTAGCCTCAAGCATACTGGGTGTTTTGCCACTGAGCTACTTTCCAGCACCCAATCAGATTTTTTGAAATGACTACAATAGTCCAGTGTTGTAATCATTTAGTCACTTGTTTGCAAAACACTTGAAATGTGGTTGGTATGATTAATGAACTGAAGTTTTTGATTGAAATAGCCACATGTAGTTAATGACTACTGCACTAGCAAAGGTGCTGTTCGGTAACCACACATACTAGTAGTAAATGAAGCAAGCCATGAACCTGAAAGAGACCGACCAGGCAATACATGTAGAGAGAAGGTGTTCTAGGGCTGGGATTTGTGTGCTGTGCATGGTGACACACCTTTGATCGAGGCAGGCAGATCTCTGTGAGTTCACATCCAGCCTGGCTTCCATAGCGAGTACCAAGCCAGCTGGGGCTACAGGGAGACCCTGTCTGAAAAAGACCCAAAAAAAAAAAAAAAAATAGGATTTGTTTTTAGTGATTTGTTAAGTAAAAGTCAAAGGTGGGGGTGGACACGGGAGAACCCAGAAAAAACTGCCACTAAAATCAGTGCAGGAATGGGAAAGGGAGGTGAAGGAAGCCAAGCAGATACATGATATAGTGAGAGAGTGGTTCATTTGGATCCCATAGGAGAGTATAAGAATTAAGTTATTCCTCAGATTTGTCCAGACACAGGAGAGCTGGGCCTTTGACAAACTAACATCCCTCAGCCATTGGCCCAGGGCTACTCCAAAACGTGTTAACTCTTGGGCCCTGGTGTAAGGGCAAAGACCTCCAGTAGTATGAGTGTGTTCCTCAAAATGAGTAGTAAAAACTGGTCCAGCCATGGTGGCTCATGCCTGTAATCCTGGTACTTGGGAGGCTGAGGTTAGACAATGGAGGCAAGTTTGAGGCTAACCTGGGCTACATAGTGACCTTTAGGCCATCTTGGACTATGGAGTGAGACCCTGTCTCAAAAAAATAGATGAAGCCAGGTATGGTGGCACATGCTTTTAATCCCAGCACTAGGGAGGCAGAGGCAGGCAGATCTTTTAAGAGGTTGAGGCCAGCCAGGTCTACATAGCAAGCTCCTGGTCTACACAGTGAGACCCTGTCTCAAAATAAGTAAATAAGTAGGATGTTCTAACTATTGGAAGAGAACCCTTCACACCAAAGACTGGGAAATACGACAGTACAGTGTGTGTGTATGTTTATGAGAATCTGGGCTGTGTGTATCTGTGTCTATATGTGTGTCCATGGGAATCAGGGCTATGCACTCTCCCTGTCTCCTTGTATGACACTATTCCTAAAGAGACATGAACAAAAAATGTCTACTCACCAATGGACAGACCAAAGTAAGGATACTACCACAGGCACCAAAGAGACAGCTGCAATACCAAAAGCCCACCCCAGCATGGGTGGTGGCTCATGAAAGCCAGGAAATCTGGAGAGCAGGGCACAACCCACAGGCATCTCAACAGGTTAGAGAGCCTCTTTCGGCCAGCTCAGTTGGTCAGAGCCTCTTCTAGGCAGCTCAGCTGGTCTCTACTTCATCCAAGCAGCTCAGCTTGTGTGAGAGTGTATCTCAGCATGTCTTACTGTTTATATATGCTTGGGGAGGAAGGGCCTAGTGTTTCTGGTCAGTTTTAGGCACTTCCTGAAGCCTTTGAGTTGTTTACTTCCTAAATTTAAAATGCTTCCCTACAGGATGAAATGTCTCACCTCCCCATTAGAACGACCTGTCTTAAGGAACGTCCCTCCAAGATGGAAGGTTTTAATCTTGCAGAAAATTGTTACACAACACTCCTATAGAACACAAGAATACCTGAGTGACTGATGAATGACATTAGTCATTTATTTTCAGGACGCAGTGGTAGCAGAAGCCAAAGATAGTGGATTGAGGAGTGAGCGAAGGTGAAGTGGCAGAAGTGTAGAGAGCTGTTCTGTAGTTTGGCTTAAAAAAAAAAAAAAAGGCTAGGTATGGTGGTGCACGCCTTTAATCCCAGCACCCAGCACTCAGGAGGCAGAGACAGGGATCTCTGAGTTCAAGGCCAGCCTGGTCTACATAGTTCCAGGACAGCTGGGGCTATAGGGAGACCCTGTCTCAAAAAGACCAAAAAAAAAGATGGGATGTCCTAATTGGAGAAAGTGGGAAGGGACTGGGGAGGTGGTCAGTAGTAGAAAACTTATCTAGCACCCATAAGGCCCTGGGTTCCATCCGTAGCATCCCTACACATACACACAAGGGGTGGGAAGGTTTGCTGAGGGAGACTTGGTTATATTGGAAATCTAGGGAAAAAAAAACAAACCCTGTTAGGATGGTCATTGAAAGAGCAAGGTCTGGGGAAGGTGTGACCAGATGCCATTCTGGCTAGGTTAAACCACGGTTATAATATGAAGGCAAGGAACATTTATTCAGGAATAGGATATGATACTCAGGATGCTTTCAGTCCCAAGAGTAACTCCAAGGAAAGGGTTTATTACTTTAAAAATTTTGAATCGACTGGACATGATGGTACATACCTTTAATCCAGCACTCAGGAGGCAGAGGCAGGTAGATCTTTTTTTTTTTTTAATAAACAGAGCATACAGTAGGGGTTTATTTACAGAAGAGTAAGCACCCTACATTTACAGCTGCACGCCATAAAGTCCACACTCAAATATAGATCCTATGACCTCCCAACAGCGGCACAAAATGATGAGAGAGGTGCCTCTTGGTGTTCTTGGCTTAGATATCCTTTGGCCCTCCCCCCATGTGCAGCTAAGATTGATTGGGTGGGAAGGGTAACTGACTCGCCCCCTTGACTACTTGATTAGGGGTGGGCAGGAGCTTGCCCAGCATAGTAGTCAGAGAACATTTCCAGTTAACACTCCACACCTTCCTCCGGCTCTTACATTCTTTCCACCAACCTCTTGCAAGCTTCGGAGAGGGTGGCAGGTGTGGGTGATCTTCCTCCCGTTGTGGCAAGGCACTGAACTTTCAGGTCAGGTCTCTGCATCATCTGTTTTCCGTGGGCTGTTGGCCAGTTTGAGTGGGATTCCATCTACTATACAAACACACAGCAAGAAGCAAGAACATCTAGACAGTGACTGCTATAATAACCTATGGGTGTAAACGCAAATGCTTGCTTGGTACTTCAGCAGGTGCATCATTTCCATCTAACAAAGCAATTGCAGTGGCTTCCCACTGGGGGCAGCTGGATCTTTGTGAGACACAGGCCAACCTGGTCAACATAACGAGTTCCAGGGCAACTGGTGCTACAGGGAGAGACCCTGTCTCAAAAAACAACAAAAAACTGAAATGTTGGAGAGATAGCACAGTAGTTAAGAGTACTGGCTGCCCTTAAAA